AAGGAAAAAACGTATATATTATACTGATTTTCCATAAAAGTTATACGTTATAAAACTTAATATTTTTATGAAATTTTATATCAAATTTTTTATTGGGTTTTCTAGAAATACTCCCATATAAATAAGGACTCATATATACAGATATACACAGTAAATTTTATTATAAAAAGTGTTAATTAACTCTATTAATACTGCTTCAAGTATGATGAAAATTAACTTTTAAATACTTTTATATCCATTAAATGACTTTACTTATTCAATAAAGTTAATTTTATTTGACCAAAGTGTTTAATAAAAAAATAAGTATAATTTTATAAGTATTTGAAAAATTATACAAAAGAAGTTTCAAAGTATACAATTTTAAATAAAAATAAATTTTTAAATATAATAATAGTAAAATATAATATTATTGTGTATAAATAGTGAAATATATTGTATTTTGATATGTGTTTCTATAAAAATATAAAAAATAAATATGACTATATAATAAATCAATAGCTTATAAAACTTTTAAAAAAGTAATATTTTAAAAAAAATTATAAAAGTATCAACTCGTGTGATTAAAAATAAAATATGATAATATTTATTTCTAGTATCAAGAAATATATCACACTTCAGTTTCACAACAATATCTATCAAGAAGCATACTAAAAATCTATTATAATTGATACTTTTGTATCTCATACCTACAGAATAATTTTATTTAGTCTTCAAGAATACATTTTTTTTAGGTAAGCTGTTGTATATATTATAAGGTTAAAAAAACAAGCACAATACAGTTATTTTTTTTCTGCAGAAATCTCCTGTAAACCTCAAGTATTTTTAGTTTAAGTAATAAAAACTAACTCTATATCTTTTATAGAACAGGTTAATATTCTCATTTTGATATCTTCTTCACCTATATGACTTATAAATTACGTCACCTATCAGACACAAAGAGTAATTTATTTATAAATACAGATCCTATCAAACTTAAAAATTTAAAAAATAACTATACTATACACTGAATTGCCTAGTAAGTATGGGTCATTTTAATGACTAATAATGCACTGGCTGTGTTGTACTGAATACAATATTTTACTCTACAAAAGACTTAAAAAGACTCACTAAAGACACTGTTAACGTATAATTCTTACGACCTACAACTGTTAGACGGGGTGTTCAAGTGGTTTATTCTTTTTAATTGAGCAGTAATTTTTCAACAGTTTACAAGCTTTTAACTTAATCAGTTTACAAAAGTATTTATATTATTTTGTCGAGCAGTAATTCAACAGATTACCAATAATTTGTATTTGTAAAATAATGTTTATTCACGAGTAAAATAATAGAAGTAAAAGAAAAGAAACAAAAGAAATACTAAACTAGAAATGTAACGTGATAGGTCAGTTGCCTTTAAACTGTAATATAATGTGATAGGTCTGGTTGCCTCTAAATTATAATATAATGTGATAGGCCTGGTTGTCTCTAAACTGTAATATAGCGTGATAGGCCTGGTTGCCTCTAAACTGTAATGTAGCGTAATAGGTCTGATTGCCTCTATTATACTATCTTCTGGATTGGTTACCGACGTCAGCCAACAATATCCCATTCACTGATAAAACTACTCAAACTATCTTCTCCTCCTTTTACATGAATTAACAAGTTACCTATTTATATAAATATATTATATAAAAAGATATAACTAATATATCTAATATGTCAGCTATGTCTAATATATCAGTTATGCTACATATGTCTGACATGTCTAATATGTCAGTTATGTCATATATGTCTGACATGTCTAACATATCAGTTATATCACATATATCTGTTATGTCTATTATGTCGTTTATGTCGATCACGTCTGATATGTCACATATGTCAAATATATCATCTATATAAATTGATCATCCTCTTGCACTATATAGCTACATCATATTTACCCGTTCACAACATCACAGAGATGTGTGAAACCTATTATGCATATTTGTCTACTAACAAATATGGCCTAACATATTTAGATTCAGTAAAATGCAAGGCTAGAAACTTTGATCTAATAAAGTAAGTAATTTTTTGATACTTCTTGTTTAAGTCGCTTTATCAACATCACTCTTTTTATATAGAGCAACTAAAAAACAAGAAGAAAGAATCCATTTGGCTTTAAAAAGATTTAAAAAAATCTCAAAAGAAAAAGGATATCATACTGTAGTGAAAGAAGCAGTTGATGCTTGTAAATTTAATGATACTTTGTATATTTGCATATTATTTATATAATGTAATCATAGATTTATATAAATACTTTATGTCATCTCTTTTTAGACTGAAACTATTCCTTAACAAACTAAATCCAGAAGTTCTAATCTCAGGTATTGTGTTTGTAAAGATAAATAATCAGCAAAATTCTCATGTAATATTTGAAGGTAGAGTTAGAGGAAGCAATTTTTTAATGTGTCATGTATGATAAATTATATTCTTAAAATAGATTTCATTTTAAATGAAGCAAATTTATCGAATATGATTCATAAAGTGATTCTAGAGAGTATTGAGAAGTGATTAAGAGTATTATTTAGAATTATTTTTATGAAGTAATAGAATATTTGTTAATTCTTTTGCAATTTTACAGTTAACTCATTCTTCAATTAACAAAGCATTTAAACTTATTGGTTATAAAATCAAACTTTATGATGATGATGTCAAGATTATTGCTGTCAAAGTAACTAAAGAAGCCATTTTTCTAGAAGTAAAAGAAAACGTAGAGGGAGAATTGATTTATTATAAACTTGAATATGAGAATAATATAGTTCTATTCTTACAGTAATTATTTATGTATATATTCATATACATAAACTATTTTTACATATACAATACACTTATCTTTTTCAAAAAAAAATTTCAATGACAAAATAATTAGATGAATTTTTCATGATTCTATATCTTTCTCATTTGTATTTCTTGTGTGTAGTTTTGCAATTATTAAATAATAATATTTAAGAAGGAAATTGACAATGTCATCAATTTGTCATTCAAATGTAAAAATTAATGATAAAATCGACCCTAGGTTTACGAGATAAAAATATTTTTCTGCATCATATAATTAAATACTTCTTTTGCATAAAATTCTACATAAATCTTTGAGAAAAACATTCCAGAATGATACTCTTTGTGAAAAAATGTTTTTGAAGGCGTTTTTTCAAAGAAAATCGCTTCAGAGCGATTTTCTTTAAGGGAATTATCTATGTAGCTTTTTCTTTGAAAGAATCATACCTAAAGATATTTCCTTTGATGGAACTATTTTCAGAATTATTATCTTTGAAAGAAATAGTTTCTAGAAGTATTTTCATTAAAGGAAATAGTCTCTGTAGCTTATCTCTTAAAGGGAATGCATCTCAGCAGTTTTTTTTAAAAAAAAAACCTAAATTTTACTAATAATTTTCTAAAAAAATTTATTATTTTATTTTTTTAAAACAACTATTTTAAATTTAATTATATCACCAAAGTAATCAAGATATTCAATTAAATGTCAATTTTGACAATAAACAAATCTTTTAACTTATAAAAAGAGAACTTTTAGCATTTATCAATATTTTAAATTAGATTCTTCAATAAATCGTTAGAATACAATTATTGTAATAACTGAAAACTTCTCATGATTAATATTTAAAATAGAAGAGTCTTCAGAATGTTCTTTATTCGTGATATAGTATTAAATATAAAAAAATAAAAAGATTATAGTTAAGACAAGCGAAGAGATATGAAAAAAAAAATCAAATTAGGAGTAATATCAGAAAATAATAATTATTATAATTAAAATATATGTTCATATCAAAAACATATGACTTATATAGACTGGCATTTGCGATAAATTATAAATTATTAAAAATTATTTTTTTAAAATAGAATAAATTATTACAAAATGTATAATTAATTAAATATTATATAAAAGAGAAATTATTTGTAAAAATAATATTAAAAGCAATGATTATGTTGAATGTAATAAATATATTAATTACTATTCACCTTATATATTTAATAAAATATATAATATCAGATATTCATAATGTTTAAAACTTTATTCCTTTTTGATGAATTCTTTTAACAAAAAAAATAGATAATAGAGCAGACAAAAGGATTTATACAAATAATATAATAATTGATATATTTTGTATAAAATATAATAGGAAATTTTTAACTAAAAAGTATAGAAGTATGTATTTCACATTTATATAACATGGTAAAAAGTAGTTATATTATCATTAAAACTAAAAATACTAAAGTAATTTTATTTCTTTCATTTTCAGATTTGTTGTTATTATCAAGTAGAGTTGTTTCAGTATGTTTAGAGTTCTGGACGAGTCGAGTTAACTCACGAGTCAGATAAGCTGAGTCGAGTTTAAATCAAGTTGAGTTTATGTTT